TGGTGGGGAAACAGTTTACTGGAACTCCTCAGACTGATGAAGCCCTCTGGATAGAGGGCAAAACGTCTCTATAAAAAAGAAACTATCCAGATGACCCAACTAAGAATTATTGGATTTGGTACCTGGATGATTGTTAATGAACTTTGTTCCCATCTAGTGGTTCATACATTATTTTTCTAACAAAAAAAAATATTAATGCTAAAGTTACTACCGAGTAGCACTTGGAGTTTGTCGGAGATCAGTCTCAGCTTCAGCTACATCAAATTTTCACACGTTACATGTACAATTGGCTGAAATGTTGCCAGTTCCGTATTTTTAATGTTCAGTTGACTCTGGTGGCCATCTTAATTCAGGTTGTCTCCAAAGATAATCAGTTTTAGTTGTACATATGGTAATTTCTCTCCTGAAAATTTAATCAAAATTGGTGCAGTGGTTCATGAGATGTGCTGAAACACTTAGTTGACTCCAAATTGTTGATTGAAAACCTTTGAACAAAGACTTTTGTAATCTCTTAACATTCAAAATATGTCTTGGAAATCAGTCTGAACTACCAGTGCTTTTACAGCAGATCTTGGGTCAAGATCTGTAAATTCGATTTAATTATTAAACTTTTGTGGTTTTGAAGATCAGTTGTATGGCAGCCTTCTTGAAACAGCATCACTCCAAAAACCCATCAGCAGTAGATGTACATCAAGCAATTACATTCAAAAAGTTAGAATTTTTTTTCTCACGAGATATTTCGCTAACAGACAAACACAGAAATAGGCAAATACATTATTGCCTGCTTTCAGCAACAGGCAAGTTATTAAATATCCTTTCACCTTGACAGGCATGCCGGTCTTCTCTGTGCGCACAGTAGAGGCTGCATTCCCTCCATTTGTGGACGCTGTCCCCGCTCCCTGCAGACTCAGGGCTTTGTCTCGGCGCCTGCGTTTGCTGCTGTCTCGCAGCTCTTTCTGCCGGTTCTGAACCTCCATCAGTGCTGTAATGAATGTGTTCTTCACTTCTTTCTCAAATTCCAATTCGTCTCTACGGGCCAACTGGTTGACCAGCTCCTCAGAGTATTGACAGATGGTAGCCTCCACCCTGTGTAGCAGCTCAATGAGCCCTGAGCTGGGCATCAGACTCAGGCCTGCAGAATGGAGCAAAAAAAATCAGGAGAAGAGAGGAAACGTAAATCTGTTGCGGTATGGGGGGGATCTGTCAACAACAACACTAGACTGCTGCAATAGGATGATGTTACAAACCAATACAGCTACACCACAATGTTACACGGCTACAGTACAATGCACCACTGCGGTGGCACCACATTGCCTTACACCAACTGAGTTACACTGCAACAGCACTACACCACTAAAACTCCATCCATCCATCCATCCATCCATCCATCCATCCATCCATCATCTTTCGCTTATTTCGAAGTCTGGTCGTGGGGGCATCAGCTTGAACAGGGAGATCCAGACATCTCTTTCCACAGCCACCTCTTCCAGCTCTTCTAGGAGGACCCCAAGGCATTCCCAGGCCAATCTAGATACATTGTCTCACCAGCCTGTCCTGGGTCTTCCCTAGGGTCTCCTCCCAGTCTGACATGCCCGAAGCACCTCCCTAAGGAGGCACACCAGATGCCCGAACCACCTCAACTGGCTTCTCTTGATGTGGAGGAGCAGTGGTTCTACCTGGACCTGGAATAATACACATCCACAGTTCTGGGGTACATTAGTAAATGTGCTGATGACATCACCACCACCAGATATGTTAAGAGCTACCCAAACAGGAAGCCTTGGTTGAATGCAGAGGTTGGTACCTGCTGGAAGCCAGGAATGGTAAATGGTAAATGGACTGTACTTATATAGCGCATTTCTATCTGATCAAGATACTCAAAGTGCTTTACAACACAATCTGTGCCTCATTTACCCATTCATACAGCACTCTAATAGATCTCTACAAAGCTAATTGAACAAATCATTCTAAAGAGACTAATCAGTGCTTTATCACATTCATACACTGATGGGACACACATCAGAGGCTATGAGGGGTTCAGTGTCTTGCCCAGGGACACTTTGGCTGGTGGATTCAAACCCCCAACTCTTGCATTGGAGGACGACTGCTCTAACCACTCAGCCACAGCCGCCCCTAGGAACACTGCCTTCAGGTCTGGAAACTCACAGGAACTGAGAAGGCCAAGGAAAGAGCTGGTTGCTGGTATTAAGAGGGCCAATGCCACATATGCACAGAAGATCAAGGGTCAATTCACCTCACAAGACCCACGGAGCATGTGGAGGGGCATTAAGTGCATAACAGATTATAAAAGCAGAAGTGAAGAATGCCCTAGAGACCCATCACTGCCTGATGCCCTCAACAGGTTCTACGCACGCTTTGAAAACCCAAACAGACCACCCAGCAGCAGACTCACCTCACCACCAGACGAAGAGCTTCTCAGCATGACCTCAGCTGAAGTGAGGAGTACTTTCAAGAGGATTAACCCTCACAAAACATCCAACCCAGACAACATCCCCGGGAAGGTGCTGAAAGAATGTGCCGACCAGCTCTGTGAGGTGCTGGCCGACATCTTTAACTCCTCACTTACCCTGGCAACAGTTCCCACCTGCCTGAAAACTGCCACCATCATCCCAGTCCCAAAGAGCTCTACAGTGACTGATCTGAATGATTACCGGCCATTGGCCCTCACCCCGATAGTCGCTAAAAGCTTGGAAAAACTAGTCATGACCCACATCAAAGCAATCATCAACATCAATGAGGACCCTCACCAGTACGCACACCATGAGAATCAATCTACAGAGGATGCCATCTCCTCTGTGGTCCACATTGCTCTTACCCACCTGGAGCAGGACACCTACGTCCATATGCTCTTTGTGGACTTCACGTCTGCCTTCAACACCATGATCCCTCAAACCCTGATGGACAAACTACCCACACTGGGAAGTTCAGTCCTCACCTCCTTCTACAGGTGTGCAGTGGAGAGCATCTTGTGCTCCAGCATCAACATGTGGCATGGAGGCTGCACAGCTGCAGAAAGAAAAACGTTGCAGAGAGTGGTGAAGTCTGCACAGAAGTCTGTTGGAGTCAGTCTCCCCACCATCACAGACATCTACACCTCTAGATGCAGGAAGAGGGCCACCTGCAACATGAAAGACCCCACTCACCCAGCACACACACTTTTTGCCCCACTCCCCTGAGGAAGGAGGTTAAGGAGCATTAAGTGCAGAACCACTAGACAGAAGAACAGCTTCTACCCTGAAGCTGTTAGACTCATGAATCTCTAACCAGGCTAATCACTATGAAAAATCACATCATGTTGCTGCTGATCTGTTTCATGTTGCTGTGTTCATTCATGCTCATCTGCTCACACAGACTCATGTCCGTGCTGCTGTTTGGCGTATTGTGTTGATTGTTTTTATGCTATTAGTGATTATTGTATATTTAGTTGATGTTTTTCTTAGTTCATATCTTAGATCTTATTACTGTTTCTTTAATATTTTATTGTTGGATGTAACTGAGACCCTATGTACATAATTTTGTTCAACCACATGTACCACATGTGGTGTGAATGACAATAAAGAAACTCTGAATCTTCATGATGGACAAATATGACTAGCACAGAAGTCCAACAACAGAACACAACTCGGGTTCAGATCAGAGAGGCCATTCCTCCCAATCATGCTCCTCCAGGTCACACTGTCATTATCCACGTGGGCATTGAAGTCCCCCAGCAGTATAAACAAATCCACTAAAACAACACTGCAAAAATGCTATAAATGCTACAAGGAAACTTCTCAACAATGCTGCACTTCTTCACCACAGCAGCACTACAGTCCTACACCACTACAAAATTACAAAACTATGCAACTGTAAAACTGTAATACTACACCACAACACCTATACAGCCCTACATAGCTAAAACACTGCAGCGATAAAAATATCAAACTCCCCCTTACAAAACTATATCACTACAGCACTACACCGAAACAAAGCTAAACTGCTGCAGAATGTATTTTCATTCGTTCAACATTTATTTATCCAGGTTAGACTCACTGAGCCTCGATGACTCATTTACATTAGAAACCTGTTTTAAATAAAGAACAAAGATGAGGTGCAGACAACAGTTGACAATCATATAAAAGCATATAAAATGAAAGTGAATAAAATAAATGATGTAAAAAAAACAGCTACATTACGAAGTGATGTAAAATTCTAAAAACAGGAACATGTCTGTGTTGGTAGTAACACTTCCTTAAAAGTCTTCAGTTAATCCAAAATGTTTTAACTGGAGTTAGTAGGAGAGATCATTTCTCTCCAGTTTTAGCTTCTCTACATTGGTTCCTTGTCAAGTTCAGAATTTACTTCAAAATCTTACTTCTAACCTACAAAGCTCTCAAAAACCTAGCTCCATCTTATATTACAGATCTTATTGTTCCATATTTTCCTAACAGAGCACTTTGCTTTCAGACTGCAGGCTTACTTGTGGTGCCTAGAGTTTCCAAGAGCAGAATGGGAGGCAGATCTTTCAGTTCTCAGGCTCCTCTCTTGTGAAACCAACTTCCAGTTTCTGTCTGTGAGGCTGACACATTATCCAGTTTTAAGACTTTTCTTTTTGATGAATTCTATAATTAGTGTTGGCTTGTCATGCTATCTTAAGCTTAGACTACTAGAGGACAAATTGACCTAATTTCCTTAAATTAATTGTTAAAATTGAATAGTTTTTATTTGATCCTATTTTTATCTCAACATGTGATTCTTTGCCATTGTGTATCTGTTCCTCTCAAACCCAGCCAGTCGATGCAGATGACTGCTTGTCCTGAGCCTGGTTCTGCTAAAGATTTCTTCCTCACGAGGGAGTTTTTCCTTTCCACTGTCGCCTTCATGCTTGCTCAAGACGAGAGCTCTATGATGGAGTTAAATTCAAAGCAGTTTGCTCCTTAGATAAATAATGTTAAATTATTATTTTTAAATATGAATGTTTCTGTTCACTGCCCTGAGATGACTTCTGTTGTGACTTGGAGCTATATAAATAAACTGAATTGAATTTGAATTGAATTGAAATTGAATTGATTTTTGCACTGAACTTAACTGTTGTTTAAAATCCCTTAGTGGTCAATGTTAACAACTTCAGATAATTTTGCAAGGAATTACAGGTTATGGGAGCAAAGTAACAAAAGGCCCTTTTGCCAGAATGGAGTGTGAGAATGACAGACAGTTTGGTGCAGCATCTGTAGTATTGCGGACTCTGTGCCAGTCTGTTGTGGTGAAGAGGGAGCTTGCAGATATAGTCATTTGAAGTGAATTGCCTCTGCAGGGTAGCTGGACTCTCCCTTAGAAATAGGTGAGAAGTTCAGTTATCTGGGAGAGACTCAGAGTAGAACCACTGCTCCTCCACATTGAGAGGAGCCAGATGAGGTGGTCCGGCATTTGGTAAGGATGCTTCCTGGGCGCCTCCCTTGAAAGGTGCTTTGGGCATGTCCATCTTGGAGAAGACCCAGGCCACGCTGAAGAGACTACATCTCTCCGATTGCCTGGAAACACCTTGGAATCCTCCCAGAAGAGCTGGAGGGGTGGCTGTGGAAAGAGTTGTCTGGACCTCCCTGCTCAAGCTGCTGCCCCGAGACCTGACTTCAGAACAAGTGGAAGATAATTGATGGATGGATGGATGGATGGGTGGATGGATGGATGGACGGACGGACGGATGGATGGACGGACAGATGGACGGACAGATGGATGGATGGAAATTACACAGTTATTGTAATTGAATAAAGAGAACCAGGGGCTGTTGGTCTTCCGGCAGTGTTTTTCTGAGGTTGAGGCACATCTAAATTTACACGCGTTTTGTTTGCTTTATGTTATGTTGTATTAGGTCTGATGTGGTTCAGTTCATTGTTCAGGTTTAAACCATAAATGCTCAAGCAAACGAGAAAATGTTGTGTTCAAATGCCACCTGGGTTCAGGAACCAAATGGAATCATAGGGCAGCTGTGGCTGAGTGGTTAGAGCAGTCGTCCTCCAATGTGAGAGTTGGGTGTTCGATTCCACCAGCAGTCACATGCCGAAGTGTCTCTAGGCAAGACACTGAACGATGCCTCCGATGTTTGTCCCATCAGTGTATGAATGTGATAAAGCTCTGATTAGTCTCTTTAGATTGATTTGTTCAATTAGCTTTGTAGAGATCTAGAAGAGTGTTGTGTGCATGGGTAAATGAGGCACAGATTGAAGTGTAAAGTGTTTTGAATATCTTGATCAGATAGAAAGGAGTTATATAAATACAGCCCATTTACCATAATTCAGAGTATTTAGGTAAGTTTCAGCATTTTGTAGTTTGATATTGTGGACTAAAGAGAATTGTGTGACAGTAAACACATTCTCACAGCACGTCAAAAGTTTGTTTATACTGTATTTATGCACACTTCCATGCAACATGTGCTTTGATTCACCCCAACATGCATGTAGAACATGGACTACGCACCCATTTTGTACATGCACCGTTCACGCAGAAGGCCCCAGGACAGCAGAACAGCCAGAGTTAAGAGTCCTGACAAACTTTTTAAAGGCCTTTTCTACCTGGATTATTGAGCATGAATCAGGGTGTTTTTAAAGGGCTGTTTTTTTTTGCTGTTACATGTTTCAAAACCAGATGTAACATTTTTGGAAAAATCATTCCAATCACTGTATGATTGCAACTGAATTAAAAAATTTTTTTTTTTTTTCAAAAATTAGAAATTTAGAGATGGGCCTAAAATTACAAAGAGCAACAGAATCCAGATTGCTCCTCTGGATCAGAGGTTGTAGCACAACCTGTTTGAAAGCTGAAGGCACACAACCACCCATCAGTGAGGAGTTTATCAGCTCCATATTACACAGCCTGAAGGTGTTCAAATCCTTTGTAAAAAGATATGGAGGGATAGTATGAATGGGGCAGCACCATGAACACAGGTGATGAACTGTTGAACTCAGAATGGAGAGAGACTGACTCAAAATGATCATAAACAATCTAATATGTAAATGAGGTGGACGGATCAAAGGCTGAAAAATGAAAAACTTTTCACACAGCCTCGCTAATGGTTCAGTAAGAACAGATTTACATACTTGTGCTCAAACAGGCAAAAACATTTGCATGTGTACCTTCATACGAACAGTTATTGTTGGAGGCCTGTGACAACTGCCTGATTTCCTCCAGCAGGGAGGGGTTGGTCCTGGAGGAGCAATGACTGCTCTCCTCTTCATCTTCCTCTTCGGTTTCATCAGGATCTGGTGAATTCTCCATCATCTCAACTATCTCCTCAATTACCTAAAAAGGAAAATGAGAGAAAATGAAAAAGGCAAGTGGATGAGACAAAATCAGAGGAGAGGTAAGCAGGTGGTCCTTTATCAGAAGCAAGAAAATGCTAAGAGCCTCTTCTGCAGCAGAACACATCTTTATTGTCCATTATTGATGTCAGCACAGTCTACAGCAGCATGGAGCAGACATCTGTCGGAGCTGCTGGGTCCGGACAGCCCTGAATGGTAAATGGACTGTACTTATAAAGCCCCTTTCTATCTTATTAAGATACTCAAAGCGCTTTACAAAACAATCTGCGCCTCATCCAAAAAAGTTCTATCTGGTCCTCTGGACATTCTGTGCCTCATTTACCCATTCATACAGCACTCTACTAGATCTCTACAAAGCTAATTGAACAAATCATTCTAAAGAGATTAATCAGAGCTTTATCATATTCATACACCGATGGGACACACATTAGAGGCAATGAGGGGTTCAGTCAGTGTCTTGCCCAGGGACACTTCAACATGTGTGACTGCTGGTGGATTTGAACCCCCAACTCTTGCATTGGAGGACAACTGCTCTAACCACTCAGCCACAGCCTCCCAGGTAGGCATAGTGAACGTGAGACTTTTTATTCAACATTAATCCATTCTTTACCCACATTGTCCTTTCTGAGTTAAGTGCATTGCTGGTGTCCATATCCAGTGGGACAGGTCTCCAGTCCATCACAGGGACACATAGAGACAAACAACCATTCACTCTCTCTCTCTCCCTCTCTCTCTCTCTCTCTCTCTCTCTCTCTATATATATATATATATATATATATATATATATATATATATATATATCCATATACTGGTAGAACTGCTGCCTCTCAGCAAGCAGGTCCCTGGTTCAAATCCCAGTTCGGGGGCCTTTCTGGGTGGAGTTTGCATGTTCTCTCCGTGCATGCGTGGGTTTTCTCTGGGTACTCTGGTTTCCTCCCCCAGACCAAAAACATGCATATTAGGCTGATTGGTAACTCTAAATTGTCCCTAGGTGTGAGAGTGAATGGTTGTCTCGTTTGTCTCTATGTGGCCCTGTGATGGACTTGCAACCTGTCCAGGGTGTACCCAGCCTCTCGCACAGTGATTGCTGGACATGGGCACCGGCGACCCCCATGATCCAAAACGGAAGAAGCGGGTAAGAGATAATGGATGGATGGATGGATATTTATAATTTATTTATTGTTTATTTGATAGGGACAGATACAAGAAATAAGATCGGGACCAGCTCTTTACCCCCCACTAAGGTCCTTGAGTGGGACCAAGGCTTTTGCTCAGCCAGTCTACATGTGTTTCGTGGACTTGGAAAAAAACTTTGATCTTGTTCCATGAGTTTAGGATTGGGGGTCTGTTACTCCAGGACATTTAAATGGTGCAGGGTCTGCGTCACGTTGCCAACAGTCATTCAAACCACATCATGGTGACAGATTGTGCCAGGGCTGCCCGTTATCACTATTTTTTTTGCAACTTTTATGATTTCATGATTCATCAACTCAATCATCCCTTTGCCTTAAAGTTCATCTGGAAGTGTTCTTTCATAACAAACACAAACACATCAAGATTTATCAAAGTTCAGTGAGTTAGTCATTTGTGTTGGTTAAAGTTGATTCTATGTGGAGGACATTTTGAAATGGATTGACTCTGAAACGTGATTTGTTGTAAATATACGTCAAAAAATTACTTTCTGTGAGTTTTATAATTTTAATTTTTAATTTTTTTTTAATTATAGTTTTAATATCTGTTTTGTAGTTCATGAGATATTTTGCTAACAGAGTTGCCTCCAACAGTACACTGGTAAAGTTTTAGGCAAAGATCTGGCACAAAGAGTAGAACTTGGATGTGTTGTGAATTACCCTCAGCTACTACAACTCCAGATTTTAGATCAATATTTGTAAAACTGAATTTAGCCATTTCCGTTTATCTTTTGATGTCAGCTAGCTTAAATTATATTAACTTCAATAATTAATCAGTTGCAGATGTACAAACAGTTGTTAGGTTCCATAAATTTTGTCCAGTGATTCACGAGATATTTTGCTAAAAGATGCACACACACCCAGTGATTGTTACTGTCAACACATACGTATTTTTCATTAAAAATAAACAGATTTTTGGCTCAGCACCATCCTGAGTACAAAGAAAACTTTCATGTGAGTTTGTTTCGTGTTCCACACAAACCTGATCTGCCGTGATGAGAGGCTCCTCATTCAGGCTGTTGGCATTCTCATTCTTCTCATTCATCTCCTCCTCATCTTTTTCATGAATCTGCAGATTGGCAACACAAAAGTTTAATGAGAAGTTTAAAGTTACAGCAGGAAATCAAGAAATACTTTAACAAAAGCTTTTTGTTTTCTGGATGTAAATGTTTGTTGAGTGCTGCAGTTCTGCAGATTCACAGAACTTCTCACCACCAGAGGAACCAGAATGAGAAAAAACAAGTTGCTGAAGAATCAAACAAACGTTCTCCTAAAAGTCAAAAAAGTTCAATCTGGTTCTCTGGACATTCAAAAAAAAAAAAAAAAAAAAAAAAAAAAAAAAAAAAAAAAAAAAAAAAGCAAAAAAATCTAGAAACGTTTCGTCTCTCATCCAAGAGACTTCCTCAGTCTGAGGTGCTGTTTTCAGCTCAGTCTCTTAAATAGCACCTTCTCAGAGTGGATCAACCAGTTATAAACTAAACCAAACCAGTTATTAACCAAATATCTGGCGTCTGTACTCATCCAGTTGGCAGCTCAGAACACCACATACAGAACACCATGGACTTTGTGGATAAAGTGAGGGATGTCATCATGGAGACTGATGAAACAATGGTCTCTTTTGATGTCACATCACTCTTTATGCACATTCCTGTTGATGATACAGTAGAGGTGGTCAGTTTAAGATTAAAATCAGACACCACTCTGAGCAGCAGGACCACGCTTTCCACAGAACAACTGTGTCAACTCTTGAAACTGTGCCTGCAGTCAACCTACTTCACATATGGGGAGCAATATTATAGGCAGAAACATGGGTGTGCTATGGGGTCTCCAGTTTCTCCTATTGTTGCCAACCTGTACATGGAGGAGGTAGAAAAGAGAGCCTTGACGTCCTTTTCAGGGACACCACCAAGTCATTGGTTCAGGTATGTTGACGACACCTGGGTTAAAATTAAATCTCAGGAAGTCCAACATTTTACTGACCACATCAACTCTGTGGATAAATACATCAAGCTCACACGAGAAGATGTAAAGAATGGCAAGTTGGCTTTCTTGGATTGTGAGGTCTCAGTCTCTGATAGAGGACATTTGCAAACCGAGGTGTACCGCAAACCCACCCACACAGACCAGTATTTGCAGTTTGACTCCCATCACCCTTTGGAGCACAAGTTAGGAGTCATCAGGACTCTGTATCACAGAGCAGACAGCATGCCCACTAACTCGGGAGCCAGGCAGAAGGAGAAATCCTACACAAAACAGGCTCTAGAGCAATGTGGATATCCTAACTGGGCCTTCCTGAAAGCAGAGAAGAAACCCAAACAGGACTCCAGTCAGCCATTAGGTGAAAAGGAGGAACCCAGACCCAGACCAGTGGTCATTCCGTATGTTGAGGGAGTATCAGAGAAACTGAGACGTTTATTTTCTAAACATAACGTCCCATTGGCTTTTAAACCCCAAAATACATTACGGCAAAGACTGGTTCATCCCAAAGATCCAGTCCCCCGGCACAAACAGAGTAATATTGTGTATGCTGTTCAGTGTCAGGAGGGCTGTGATCAGTCTTACATCGGGGAAACTAAACAGCCACTGGCCAAAAGGATGGCCCAGCACAGAAGATCAACATCATCAGGCCAGGATTCTGCGGTCTACACTCATCTCCAGGCCAGCGGTCACTCTTTCAAGGATGAAGATGTTCACATCCTGGACAGAGAGGAACGATGGTTTGAGAGAAGAGTAAAGGAGGCCATCTTTGTGAAAAGAAATCGTCCATCATTAAACAGGGGTGGAGGCCTCCGGGTTCAACTGTCCCCCTTTTACAATGCTGTGATTGCTAGTATCACTCAGCCCTCTGTGAATAGTAAACAGCCATCAGTGTGCTAATGATCCATTGTTAGGCTGATGGTCCTTCTTGAGCATGTGATCAGCTGGTTTTGGTTGTCAGCAGCAAACTGGTTGATCCACTCTGAGAAGGTGCTATTTAAGAGAGTGAGCTGAAAACAGCACCTCAGACTGAGGAAGTCTCTTGGATGAGAGACGAAACGTTTCTATATTTTTTTTCTTTGTTTTTTTTCTTTTTTTTTGAATGTCCAGAGGACCAGATTGAACTTTTTTGATTTTTCTACCTGGATTATTGAGCATGCATCAGGATGTTCTCCTAAAAGGTTTCATCCTTTCCATCCTGTGATGCCTCTATAACACAATTCATGTATGATGCACGAAATAAAATGAAAAACTGATGACTGAAATATGAATTATCATGAATTGTCATGATTTGACCTGAGCGTTCCTTAAAACGTGCCAACAAAAAAGCTAAATTACAGCCTTTTATTGATGAAACTGCAGAAATCACATTTTGATTAAAATGCAATGAAATGCTGAATGACTGCTGAAATTAGCTGAAAAAGCTCAAATTGAGCTGTTTTAGCCAAATAAGGCTAAACACCAACTAAAGTTAAATAGTAGCTAAATACTAGCTAAAAGCAGCAAAATGCTTGTTAAACGTATCAAAACACTATGTAAAGCCAAAATAGCAAAAATCAAGCAAAAAGAACCTATTGGAATATAGAATATATAGAAGCAGAAAATAACTAAAATTGAGTTAAAAGAGTAATAGACTAGATAAAGGCTGTTTTGTATTTTCGAGCTAAAGAAACACAATACCAGCTAAAAGTAGCAAAAGGCTAGTTAAATGTATTAAAAGGCTAGCTAAAATGTTTTAAATAAAACATTAAAAAAAGAAAAAAAATTTAAACTTACAAATTTTAAACTGCTAGCTAAATTAGCAAAACATTAGCTAGAAGTTAAAATTAGCTAAGGCAAAATAAAAGTAGCAAAGGGTTGGCTAAAAGAAATTGGTCTAAAAAGCCTAGCAGCAGAATAGCAAGTAAAAAAAAAACTTAATTTAGCACAACAGTAGCTAAAACACAAAGTGGCATAAAAAGAAAAAAAAATGAGCTGATGCAGAATTAGACAAGAGCAATATATTTAAATTGGTAAATAAAGTGTTTATTATTTCAAATATTTTAAAATGTATAAAAGTTTTGGGACACCCCCCCCCCCCACCCCCCAAACACACACACACACAAAAGTTTACCCTCACATATCCTGGATGAACTGCATATTTTGAAATGTATTAACAAATAATAGAGAAGATGACGCTTGTGGTGACGCTGAGTGAACATTCACACAACAAAGACAACTCAGCAAACTAAAAGTGAGCAACGGGTACCTCCTGGTCAGAAAGGTTGCCGTTGCGTCCCTGAAAGTTTGGGCCTTCCCACGTGGAGATGTAGTTGTCAGTCAGGGCGTCCCACACACTACAACACAGGACGTTACAAGCTTTTAGAAAAGAAAAACAAGAAAACAGGCAGAAGTAGAAGTTTCTCTTTAAAAAATAAATCAGATGTTCTGCAGCCTGAAAGTCAATCAATATTTTCAAAAAAGAAAATCAATGAAAGCGTTCAAATAAATGAAAAAGCACAAATTATTGTTTGGCATGTGAATCCTTTGGACGAGGCTCCTCACATCATTGTCCTGTAGCTGCAGGTCTGAGCCAGTCATCTGAAAGGACAAACTGAGAAAGTCTCCTTTGTCTCTGTGTTCTTATTGTCTTTTGTTTCTTGTTTTGCACAGATGCTGCTGCCCTGCTCTCAGTGGCACCCTCCCACCCCCACCACCACCACCCTGTACACCCAACTGTGGACTCCATTCAGCAAAGAGCTTACCTCACCCATCATGCCTGCATACCACAGCTGCAGACAGCAGTCAAAGTCTTAAGAATGGCTTGCAGCAACTACCATGCAATTGTTGTTCAATCTTTTTATAACTTTTATTGACTTAGAGCCATTGTGCTGGCTGTTGTTTAGTTCTGGTGACCGTCTGGTATTGTGTAAACTCCAAAGTTAATTTGTTGTAAAGGCACAGGACATTCAATAATTACTTTCTAAAGGTGTAAAGAAAATCCATCCAGTAATTGACGAGAGGTTTGTGTTGTTAACAATTATGGCTCCATTAGGCAAAGATCTTGTGCAAAATGTAGCAGTTGATGTTGTTAATACCGCTCAGCTACAACCACATCAAATTTTAGACCAATATTTGTAAAATTGACCGAATTATAGTCCTTTTTGTAAGTTCTAAGGACTAATGGCCATCTCAAACTGGGTTGGCATCAAATTACATTGATATACCGTACGGTATATCAGTGGATTCATGCGTTCACACGGTTTCATATATCTGGATTTCTTTGTGTGTACTCTTGTTTTCTTGAGTTAAACATACACCATGTTTCAGTAGAAAATCCATGCAAGTTTTTATACATGAGGCTTCTGGTGTCGTTCTGAGTGGAATTTGCATGGGTTTTGTCGGGGTTTCATCTCACAGTCCAAAACATGCATGTTTAGGCCTTCAGGACCAGGCTAATTTTGCAAAATTGATCTATGATCTCAATCAGATTTGCCAAGTTAAATAAATATTGTTTATTAAAATGTTGATGTAGACCCAATTATTGGTTTCTGAAAATTTCCTTAAAAGCTATTCAGTGGTACATGAGATGTTCTATTTCGTATAGGCTTCGCCCTTCAAGGCTATCGCTAGTGGGTTTATCCCTTCGCGCGCTACGCAGCACTGAAAACTTTAGTCCGTGTCAACCGGCTGTGTGGGCCCCACCCCCGGTCTGTATAAATTACAGTGAGACCGGGCAATCGGCTCCAATTTTTTCTTCAGCCAGCTAGCTAGCACTGTCAGAAGAACGAAGAAGGAAAAGATGACCGGCACAACTTTTGCTAAGGATGTCTAGGTCTCCGCCACGCCAACCTCCTGCTGTCCTGGTGAGCTCTTCCTCCCCGAGGAGAAGCAAAGATGAGTAGCTTTGTTCAAGTTAAGTGCTAAGGAGTGTTTTTCCGTGGCGGGCCGCTACTCGCTGGACAATGCCATCGCCTTTTCTAACATGTTTTTTTCCTTGCGGTGAATCGGATGATTCCCTTGAAAAAGGCGTTGTTGGCAGCAGATCCGCTGAGTGTTTGTCCGTGGCGGGCTGCTACTCGCTGGACAACACCATCGCCTTTTCTAACGTTTTTCCTCGCGGTGAATCGGATGATTCCCTCATAAAAGGCGATGTGGGCAGCAGCTCCGCAGAGTCTTTTTATGTGGCGGGACACTATCCACGGTACGACGCCACCTGTTTTCTTTGAGGCAGAGTCACACAGTGAATCGAATGTTTCCTCAGAGAAAGGCGATGCTGGAAACAACGTCGCTGCCCCTTCCGTCCTAGAGAGCATAGTGACAGAAGAGGAGCAGCCGAACGGATGCTCAGCCACCTCGGGTCTTCCCACGTCGGCGACCATACCGCTCCCAGTCTTCGGCGCCCTCCTCTCGGAGCTGCCCGGCATAATCCAGGAGGCTGCTAACACAAAGGGACTTTCTGTCCCTCGCCTCCCTCTGCCCTGATCGTCGCCCTGATCCCATCTGGCCTTGCCGTCCAGCTGTGACGTCACACTGGAACAAGGCTGCAGCTGGGCCCGGCAAGCTGAAGACATCCGTCTTCACCTTCGCCTCCATCTCCAGAGTGGAGGGTTTTACCGATCTGTGTTTTCCCTCAGTTTCCCCCCCTGGAGCCAAGCCTGGCAGAGGCGCTTTGGGCAAAAGCTTCCAGGATGGACCGGTAGCCTATCCCTCCAGGGAAGCATGACCAGAGGTGACAAAGCTCTCCAACTGAGCTCACTAGTGCACATCCCAGGCAGTCACAGCGAACAACAATGTCACACTGCTGGCCTACAGCATCTCTAATGCCCCTTTTCCACTGTCACGGCGCGGGTCGGATATTTCCGGCTTGACGCGCATTTGAGGTCTTTCCACTGTTCCTGTGACCGGCTCGCCTCGCTAAATTCTGGCCCAGCTTCTCAAGGGGTCCGAGCAAGCCGCGCCGTGACGTCAGAAACAATGTCGGTCACTGATCGGTCTGTGGAGTCTTTCCTTTTTTTTTTTTTTGAGCTCAGTTTAAGTGTAGAAACATTGTGAAGTGTTTCAATGAACTTATCATCATCGCTCAATTTTTTTTTAAAGAAAGAGAAGAAAGAAGAATAAATAAATGATAAAAGAGAGGAAGATAAAACGAGAGACCACCATGACAAAACAACATGCACAGCACAATGCCACCCACAATATCACCATGAAACATTTGACATCGCACAAGGAATCATCTAGCTTCCACCACTACCCAACCTAGCATGCATCTGTCAAAGCACCTGAATCCAAAAACCTGCGCAAGCACGCCCGCCACCACCAGATTTCTCCAAAAGAATGCCCAATAGTGGACGCGGGGGCCCACAGACCCGCCCCCCCCAGGACACAATGGCAACATAGGGAGGACCGGAGCCACAGACACACAGCGGCCCACAGGCCCGGAGCCCCAAGAGTCTCCCAACAGGGAGAACCGCACCCCACCAGAGAGGAGCAGAGGAAAGAACCGGGTGACCCCAGCCACCACAATGCAGAGCCTCCAGGAAGCTGCAGCGACGAGCCCACAGGCCCGGCCAGCGACCCATGCCCCCCCCAAGTAGATCCGGCCATGGACACCGAGCCCCAAGCCCCGAGGCCATACCACCCCCAGCAGAGCCCCGACAGAGCCAGGGCACCCAGGCCCCGCCAGGCAGCAACCAGGGCGGACCGACGTGCACCTCACCACCCAGCCCAGACACCGAGAGCCACCAATGCACCGGCGGCAAGGGGGTCCCCCGCCAAAGGGGGGCACGACCGGGGGGAGTGGGCCCCACACCAAACGTGGGGCCCAAATTGATCCAAGAGAGGGGGGACCACCAAAAACCCAACCTGAGCAACCAACAGGCACACACAGATAGCCCGACAGAATCTCTGTCGGGCCGACCGCATGCACCATCTACCTGACAGCGACCACAGGCCGGCCCCAGCCCAAGGGGCAGAGCAGCAGGGAGCCGCAGCTGAGGAGGGCCGGCTCTCACATCAAGAGCTCCGCACCATAGGCCCGGAGACGCCCCAGCACACCACCCATGCACCCCCCCCACACACACAGCACCCCCACTGCAAATGCCACACAGGAAGACCAGCCAGTGCTCGGATGAGGCGAAGCCATGCCCCCAACCGCCGCCCTACACCACCAATGACCACACGTACACTACCATAGCCGACCCCCCGCCGAAAGCCGGCAGCCACCCCGGTCAAAGTGCCGGCCATCGCAACCAGGAACCTAGATTAAAAGAATCGAAACAGCCCAGGAGGAACCGAAGCACCGGCCCCTACACTGACCACCCCCAAGGCCCAAAGCCCACCCACAGCCCAGACCCCAACAATGCACCCCCCCTCCATCCCCGACCCCTAGTGTCACACGGAGAAAGGAGGTGTTTGTGAAAGGAAAAAAAAAAAAAATCTATATATGCATAAATAAATTATGAACAGACCCACTTCCTCCTCCTCCCACTCGAATATGGTGTTGATGCATGTTGTTATACAGTGCGTTTAAAATGGGGGGATGAGGTGGCGACCGACATAGACCCACCTCTTGCCCAGAGAGCAGGCGGCGCCCGTTCACCCCTCATCTCCGCCCAGAACCCTAAATGTCTACATGCTACATATGAGAGTGGGCACAGGTCCGGGGAGGTGGAAATGGTAGTACATCCCACCACCTAAGTGCGATCATGTGCCCAC